ACTAACGAGAGCGTCGCCCAGCGAGTGACTCGACTTACTCGCTCTCGTTAACGTATGCGAGCAATAAACGAGAGCGTCATTGAGCGAGTGACGCGATCTACCTTTACGGATTCTTATTATCTTACTCGCTCTCGTTAAAATATTTCAACGAGAGCAGAACCTCAAACAGGCTTTTGAAATTTCTGAAATATTTTGATATAATAAGCATATAAATTCGTTATGTTTGTCAAACCAGAAATCGAACTGTCCAACGATGACTCGGACATAGATATTGAGGATCGCTCGACGCCCGATTCGACGGCGAATGGCTGCCAGCAGGAGCTGCTGCTGTCGCACCACTACAACCACAACGAGGAGTCCAGCGTGGAGTCCTGTGGCACAGCCACGCCCGGTCCGGGCGCCGGCCTGAGCGCTGCTGCCGCTGCTGCGGGCATGGCCGCGGGCCTGCTGGCCGCAGCTGCTGCCGGAGGCGCTGGCGGCGGCGGCGGCGGCGGCAACGGCGGCAGTGGAGGCGGCGGCGACAATGGAGGCGGCAATATGGGCAGCGGCAGCTATGCGGAGCACAAGCTGCAGTTGAGCAAGAGCGGACGCAAGCCGCGACGACGACGCACAGCGTTCACGCACGCGCAGCTGGCGTATCTGGAGCGCAAGTTCCGCTGCCAAAAGTATCTGAGCGTGGCGGATCGCAGCGATGTGGCCGAGACGCTCAGTCTATCGGAGACGCAGGTGAAGACCTGGTACCAGAATCGACGGTGAGTAAAGGCACTTGGCCAGGTCCACGTCGCCCCAGCTTTAATGTTCGTCCTTCTCGCTTGCAGCACCAAGTGGAAGCGACAGAATCAGCTGCGCCTGGAGCAGCTGCGGCATCAGGCCACGCTGGAGAAGGACTTTGTGGTGCAGGAGAATGCCGCGGGCGGCGCTCTCGGCTGCTGCCCCAGCGGCCTGTCCAATTCGTTCAGTGCCGCCGCCGCCGCGGCAGCCGCTGCGGCTGGCAATCCGTGCAACTTCTTGACCTCGGCCGCGGCGGCGGCCATTTTCCGCAACGTTGGCTACGTCCACGGCTGCCCCATGTAAAGGCCACGACGCCAGCAGAGCTTCACTCCGCCAATCCAATTCCACGCTTGCCTATGTAAATATGATGAATGCTTTATGTGCAATACGAATCTCTTTTCCAACTCGATGTCTACCCGATGCGCGTAATCGAACTATCGATTAATCGATAGCTGTCTACTCATCTCCCACCTCTAAGCTCCTGATCGAACGCCTGCTCCAATTATAAACCTTAGGCTTAGTCGAATTAACTGTAACCGACACGCACACACACACACACACACACACACACACACACACACACACACACACACACACAACAAATCGTACTCATATGTAACAGAAAATAACAACAATTGTGAACTTTGTGCACTCGAAAAACGATAACTTTTTTTTTGTGAAAATAAACATTGAATTGCATATTTGATAAAGTTCGTTATGGAAAAGTGAAGAGTATTATTAAGGGTTTTCATTTGGTTAAGCGTTTAGTTTAAAGTGCGTATCTGTGCTAACTAACGGGTAAACTAAGTGCAATAGGATTTCGATAGGTTCCTTTCAAATGTTTTAATATAAATTAGAAATTTTTGAGACAAGTTTGGGGCTATTCATGAAGGTTTCTGGAATAGGTTTGGGTTATTTTTAAACTATATATGTGGCTATATAAGTTGTGGATACTAGGGATAACGCTTGATATATATCAAGTTAACATAACAGATTGCCGTTAGTTGTGCAGTCTCTAATAGGAATCCAATTGGACGTGTTGCAGTTTATGTATTTAGACTGGGATTTGAAACGACAACGTAGTTCATTTACCAGCTCATCAATCCAATTGGGATTTAAAGTCTCGAAAAGAAAATATCTATAATTGACTAGCGTCAGGTAGACATGTACCGTTATTCAGCAGAACATTGACAATCTCGTTGCAGTTGCAAGTAAACGTTGCTGCTGCATGCTTAAAAATCAACTTGAGCGAATGATACAAAACGATATCAATTTGTCGCTATATAGTAGTAAATGGTATGCTATGTGCATGCACAAATACATACATATAGGTTGTTATATAAATGTGAGGTTGGGTTGAATGGGCATGGCATGGCAGCCAACCGGAAAACAAGCAACAGCACTGCACGCAATTAAAACGGGCCACAAGCCCCTGCAAAGGCAGCCAGCATATGGGAAAGCGCATGGGCGAGAGCGAGACAGCAATAGTAACAGCAGCAATAGCAACGGCCGGGGAGAGCAGCAGGAGTGGGCGCAGCAGCGACGCAGCGTCGCAGTCAACTTTTGTGGTTAGATTTTCATGCACATTTAGCTCGCGATGATGGGGGCCAAAACACAAAAAGGACGAGAAATGTTTAGCCACAAATTGAATCTGCGGCGAGTCAGTTAACAAACAGCAGCTGCTCCATTGGGTGGGAGAGAGATGCAATGCAATAGGCGACTGTGTACAGCAGCGTATATAGTGGATGGGGGGTGGGGGAGATAGGAGAGGGTAGTCATAGTTCGAGTGGCCGCAACGGAAGCAGCGCAGCGGCAGCAGCACAGAACGCTAATTAAAAAGACACTTGAGCTGGATGCGACGGCGACGGCAACGGCGACAGCGACAGCGACGCTGACGGCTGCAAAGCAAGTTAGAAATAAACTAAAAAAAATAAAATAGTAGATAGAAAGGAGAGGAAAAAAGCCACGTTAACTTTACCGTTGGAGCGCCACAGCATTACAGTTATCCATGAAATTGTCTATGAAATGTGAATGTAATTTAATGAATAAAATGCACACAGACTTCAGACCGGTGCTCTTCCCCCCCCCCCCCCCCCCCTCGCACTCGGGCACCATTCATACAGGTTTGTTTGGCTTGATGAATTTATTTTTGTTTGCGGTTCATTTGCGCAACCATTGAAATTTCAATTGCATTTTTTAATTGGTACATTTTACGTCTGCCATCCTTTGAGTGCAAAAGGAACTGGCAACTGTTTTCAGTGCGCTTCCACTTTGATTTGTATTTATTTAATGAGTTATTAATTGCATTAAGCTTTCAATATTCGCAATTAAATGCAAAAGCTCGTGCAAATAATACACACACACACACACACACACACACACAAAGCAATTCTCAAAGGGCCATAACGGTAATAAAGATGGTCAAAGTCAAAGCATCGCAAACTGAGAAGAAGTGGCGGGCATTCAGTTGGCATTCAATTAATGCAACTTTTGCTTAAAGCCCATCCTTTACGCTGATAGATCACTGTAGTTTTTGTGCAGCACAAAGGCTAAGTGGTACGGCACTTGTGCTCTGGCTGCCAGTCAAGCTGATTGATATGACACGCCAAGGTTCTGATTTGTTTATTTGTTAATGTATTTTAGACGATATCTATATTAGAAACCGTTAGGATATATTGATAACATAACAATATTATTGCGAAAAAGAATAGCAATAATAAATAACCTAAGACCATAAATTAACGCTTGTCAGATCCCTTGCAATATGATTGGCTTAAATGGCTTAGGAAGAGCAGCAGCAGTAAATTAGCTTAGACTAAAAACTTCAAATAAAAATCATTTATTTTTATTTAAAATGTAGAAGCAATAAAACATTTTAACAGATTTAAAGCTAAACAATAAGTCAACAACTTCAGTTGTTTATTGAAGAACTTTTCTAACCTCAAAGAGATTTTGCAGATTAACGATAAAGCAGTTTAACGGTAAATGCAACGCACACACACACACACACACACACATAGAAAACAATTAGCGTTTCACAACGCGGGTGACATCAACGAGGAGGAGGAACAACAACAACAACCACCACCGAGACAAGTGTCAACACGCCCCGCAGCACAAACACAATTCGTAACATTTTTCCAAACGGATAATGACAAACATTTTAATCACAAAATGAAACTGAAACCGAAACCGAAACCGAAACCCACCACCGAACCGCAAAAGGAGTGCACTCCAGGCCAGAGCGGGACAACAACAGAGCCGCACACACACGCACGCACGAATACGCACACACACACACATATACCCTTACTCACCACTCGATGCTGGCCTTAACAGTTAAAAGTCTCAGTCGCAAGTCAAGTGCGTTGCCTCTTTGTTGTTGTTGTTGCTGTGCTGCTTCTTTCCCTTCTTCTTGTTGTTGCGCTCTGTGCTCTGATATGGCATAATCTGTCGCATTTTGTCTGCCGCACAAAGGCCACAAATGAGCTTAACAAACGGTATTTATGAAGCGCAGGAACTTTACACATATTAAAAAAAAAAGAAGTAAAAACTGATGGCATATTATTTGATAATTATATATATCATAGAAAATTTGGTATCTGTTGAGAACCGTAGATGAAATTAGGCCGAAAATTCGATTGCCTTATAGACATTTGCCTTTGGCTTTTCCAATAAATTAACGGGGGAAAAACATTGCTTGACAATTCTTTTAAAAACGCTTTCATTTCAATTGTTTGGATTAAAGTTCGTAACAAGCATTAATTAGCATTTGGAGCTGTTGCAAAAGTAGCTGTCAATCTTGATTATTATACAAACTTTCAAATGTTACCAATTGTATTAGATAATATAGAAAATGTCCGACTTACTTGCATAGCTCAATAACCAGACGATCGCCAGGCTGAACCAAAAGCATACGATCTGACATAGAAAACCGGAACGCAAGTTGGAAATAAGAAAGGACTCATTACTCATAATTAGAGTTTGATTTTGAAATCGAAGAAAATGCAATAGAGTATTTAGTGCGATCCCCATCAATTGCGAACCTCGTGGGCGTTGGCTTGCAACGATCTGTCGAGCCTGAAGTCGAGCTGCGAACGCAAACTTGTTCGATGTTGGCTTCAGACCCGAAACGAGTAGCCGGCCAGTTGATTGTCGTGCATTGCAGGGATCGCAGCTTGATTGCGCTTTGGGGCAGGGTATCGGATAACAGTTAAATGATGGAACCGTAAGTTGCATTTGCATATTGAGCATGTATTCTCGGAACATGAACATGAATTGAGTGCTTTCAAAGCGAGTCGTTTGCCTAATACTGCGTGTAGATGGTAATTGCTAAGCGTAGGGCATAGATCAGTCGTCCAGATCCGAGTAGGTATCGATGGGCGCCTGCCACATCTTCGGCTGCTCCTCCTCTTCGACTAGCTCCGGTATTTCCAGCTTGATGCGATTCAATATGCTCACCATAGCGCTGACCTGGGAGCCAATCTGGACAGCAGCGAAAACGATATCAAATCAAATGCATATATTATTACGGTTATGGAATATAATGGCATTAAATCGAAGGGCCAACCTGTCCGAGCCAGCGACAGTTCATGTGGATCTGATAGAGTATGGTTGTGGCCCAGTTGAGCATGGACTCGAGATCGTTGCGTCGCATCTGAAAGAAATGATCGGGATAGCCGGCCAGCTTGAGGTCATCGTTATTGGTGAGCATCACCAGCTCCATGATGCGATTCATTGTCTCCAGCAGCAGGCCCAGCTCGCTTAGCTGGCTGTTGCCCATTTCGGCCAGGCTGAAGCGGGCCACCGGACCGAGAGCCTGGGCCAGCTCCTTGAACTCGCGATACCGATGCATTGTTATGTCCAGATTCAAGATTTGGCCAATTATTGACCAGAGCATGCAAACGCCAATGGGCAGGCCGCGTGCATTGGCACGCACCAGCCCGAGCGCCAAATGGAGCAAAATAGTGTCCTGGTCCACATCCACCTTGTGCAGCTCGCCCAGCAGATACTCGACATGACCGTGAACCTGTTGATGTTGTTGTTGATGCCACGGATTATCATGTGCAGCCAGCCCCAATGGGCATGCTAAGACCTACGCTCATCGGATCCTTGGTATCCATCAGGCCCAGCACACGGAACAGCAGGCTGCGCATATTCTTCTGCGGCTCCAGCGGACCATGGATGAGAAAGAGCATACAGACGGCCACCAGCAGGGGACGCTGCATATCCTCATCCCAGTTGCGCGCCAATTTGCGCACCGTCTCGAATCCATTTATGATCTGTTCCAGAAATGATCGGAATTAGGCATTAAAGCGGATTGGCCGGGCAATGCTGCTGCCGTTGGCTAACCTGATCCAGATCGTTGGTCATGTGAATGATGAGGCACTTGTGGGCCAGGGGACTGCACTCCACCCAGGCTCGCAGCTGGTCCAGCGAGCAGAACTGACTGCAATTCGCATAGCTCATCTTTTACGAACTGCAAAATGAATGCTTCTCGATTCAATCGAGGATCGAACCCGCCTATTCCAGTTGTTATCGCTTGAACCGGACTCTTTGCTCCTGAAACGATATGCAGACAACAAACAAACAGTTACAGGCATTTTTGTGTGTTAGAGATGGGCGCGATTCGATATTTATCGCTGGCTGCAACGTTTCGTTTCCATTCGTTTCCATTGAATCGCATCGAATTGTTGCCGTGAAACATGTCGCGGCCAGACCTGCGACATTGGAGAGAGCTTATATATTCCTGATCAACATCAAAAGCCGATCCCCAGTTGAGAAACTTGGCAAAGATGCCATTTTAAATTACCTGTGTTTCTCAGATATACATCTTTATGGTAGATGCATTCCTTATCCTAATCTAATTTCATGATGTTTCCAAGAAAATCGAGTCTTATCTCAGCTATGACTTCCTTTAGGAAAACTCCATTCCCATTTAAGGAAAAACTATTTAGTTTCTCCTTCTCGCCTGTAAAATATGATATTCAAGGTTCTGTAACTCTCTAAATATTGTTTCTGATGAAAATTAGCTTCGGTAAAATATATTTTACTTTCAAATATATTCCAAAATTTTAACCATATCAAGTTCGTAGCTAAGAGCAGAACGAAAAATCTGTGATACATAGCAGAAATGGGCAAAAGTTTTCACAGTCTGTCCTGTTCTACTAAGATCTGAGCAACCTTTACCCCATATACAAATACACTCAAAACTTAAAACAATTGAAGAATTAAACAAATGACTTCTTGAAGGTGTAAATAAGTATTCTCAGAGTCAATGCTTAAAAAGATCCTTAATTATTTTGAAATACGCATATTCAAACATCTGGCAACCTCCGCCTAGATATGGAACTTGTTTCGTTTTCGATATGTTATCGATAATTAAGAATTATCGTTGGCCCGATCTTTGCAGCTTAAAGCTTGAATGTGTCATGCGATTTAGTTTGTGACTGGGCCAAGACTAAAAATAAGTCTTAAATGACAGAGCCGACGAGACATAAACAAAGCAAAATGTGCTTGTGTTATGAAATGTGTGTCTATGTTTATGGCAAGTGTAAATAAATAGATGGCATCAAAATTTGTTTATGCCACAAAAGCGTAGAAGGCGACGCGCGGCCCAAAGTGCAGAGCTTGTCGGCTAATTGGCAATTTAAGAAATTTCAAATGAATTCAAATTGAACTTGGCAGTTTTTTTTTTTTTTTATTTATTTTTTTGGCCAGTTCCTGGCCAAATGCTATCCTGCGGTTCGCCTCGGTCTGTCCTTGCCGCAGCTGTATTATTTACAACTTCGTTAGCAAAAGCAAAAATCGCCTGCAGCATTCACATAAAACCGTCGAAACAGTGGCAAACCCAGCAAATCAACGCATAATGATATGAAAATCTGTTGGCTTTTGTGCCCAGACCTACGAATATATGTATAAAAAAAAAAAAAAACCCACCCCTTCTTAACCCCGCACAAAAAGTGGCGAGTGTATGTCAACAATTTGTCCTAAATTAGGCGTAAAATTTACAGATTGCTCGGCTAAACAATAACAACGACCCACCCCATATAAAACATGTGGGCGTGTCCCGTGCCGGGCGTGCTCGACTAGGCAATACCTCTTAATTAACTTGGCTTTTTCTAGTGCTGTCCTTATAAAAATCTCAGCGCTTGGAGGTTCTATCAAGCAGGGTTCCGTCTTTTTATTATTTCCGTGTTCGGGGTAGAAATTCAAAAAGTGAATTACTTTTATACCTAAATAACAAGTACAGAACTGTCGAATCCTTTTAAATTTCGAGTAATGCTAGAGCTTTTAAAAATCGTCGGAGCTATTGCGAGATATTCTTCTACATGTTACATAAGCATGCTCGGAACGTTGATACCCCTTTTTGGCATTGTCAATGAGTACAGGGTATCAAAAAAAGCTAGCTAATAAAAGGGTAGTTGCTACTTATCATCCTCATCAACATCAGCATCATATCGTCGTTATGATTGTCATTTCCCCTCCCGCTCTTCTCCGTTTTACTTTCGGGCCACACTTGACACTCTTCAATTGCACTGGCTGTACCAGGCGGCGGGTGGGGGGTGTGGGGTGTGGGTTCAACCCCTCCGCTAATTTGAGGCTTTTATATGGCATCTAATTGAAGTGAAAATACAGTTGGCATTGATTGCGACTTTGTGGTCCTGTGCAAGGGCGTGTTTCTCTAATGCCAGACTTATGCGAAGCTCTGAGATTGCGATCGGTTGCCTTCTGCTAACTGCCTAAGCTGATTTGCATAATTGGCTCTGCGTTCAGGCTAAACGTGAGAAAGACACGCATAATGCAACCCCGCAGCCCGAATGCAACCCTGTGCACCTTGCGCTCACTTGAATATATCATCATTTGAGATAAAATCAATCTAGATAGCCTAATTTAGTTTTGACCGAGCTGGGGTAGCTCGAAAGATGCCTAGAACAAGTCAAAAGTGGACAGAATTTCGACAGATAAACAGCGCTCTTCGGTAATTGTTTGTTTTTTTTTTTTATGTATGTCAAGCTTATATTATTGACAATTGAATATTTTTAAGGTTAGTTTCTTGTCTAAATTTTGAGTATAAATTTGATATATCTCCAAGAATTTTGTTAAAAGGCATTCAAACCCGATTTGAATGTGTTCAAATCCAATTTGAGGTTAGGTTAGATGCTGGCACTTACACACACACACACACACACACACACACACATGTGTACATTTGTATGTGCGCCTATTTATGTATGTATTTAATAGAAGAAGTTTGTGCGTTCCTTGGCCCCTTGGCTGCCTTTGTTGAATGTGCATAATTAAAATATAAAATGCACAATACGCTGTTGGCCGTTGCTTTCGTCTTTGGGCAAAATTTGTTAATCTTTTCATGCAGCTGCATAATTAAAATCTGAATATGGAAATTCTATGAAAAAATTGCGCCTCCTGCTCGCACGCAAATGGGCCAAATGGCAAATAACAAAAAAAAAAAGGGAACAAGCAAAAAGGCCGAGCTGCAGCAAGGAAAAAAATAGACACACACACACACACACACATAGACATTTGCAGACAGCAACTTAACAGTTGCCGCTGCTCGTTAACAGTCAGCTTTTGGCCTCCCCCGCGCTGCTGCTGTTGCTGTTGTCTCTTTCTTACTCTCGCACATTTGCGCTTTTAGCTGTCGCTGCGCTGTGCGGATGTGTGTGTGTGTGTGCTTGTTTGTGTGGAAGGCAAGTAATTGCAAAATATGAATGCATAATGAGCAGATATTTCCAAGTGTGCAAAGAAACTTCAAGCAGCAACATGGGGGCGGCAACTTTTATGCTAAAATGTGCGAGATGCGCGTGCACTTGCATTTTGCCAGTTACTTGCAAGGACACACACACACACATACATGCATGCACACCCATCTGTATGCATGTACGGGCAAGCATGCAAATGTGCAGCTGGGTGCATATATGCAAATGTATGTGTGTGTGCCTGTGCAACTGCCGCTGCTCTTGTCACCCGGCCCCAAGATACTTAGCAAATCTTCGCCAAGTATCACTAGCACACATTCCACAAACAAACATGGCGGCCATTGAGTGCTTACGAAAATGGTGTGCTGCTCATTAAAACTGCGGCACCATTCGAATTGTAAACAGTGTTAAGTTGGCTGCACAAGCTGCCCATTAACAGCGGCCAACCCAATGTTGAGCAACGCCTATTAAGTGCATACGCACACACACACATGCACACATGCATACATGCATGCATATACAGTACACATGCATAGACATTCCCAGAAATTGTTGCGCCATCCAAACAAATGACAACAAATTGAAGCCTTTTCAAAGCCTTCTGGAAAATGTAATCAACTCTTTTGTCGTAATATCTCTTCTCGCTAATCCGAAAATTGCTGCTTTTCTTCATGCAAGAGCTCAGTTCGAATAGAGAGAACTGATTTGGGCACTACGATAAATGACTTAACTTGGCAACGTTGCCACATTGTGAAAAGGGAATGATATGGCAGCACAGATTTAGGGGAAAATTGTTGAGCTAATTTATATCAATTAACAGGCACCTGGCCATACGCCCGCAGGGCTTCGATATTGAGCAACTGCGTCAGATTGTGGGCCAATCGTGCCTTAAGGATAAAACCCAATTTATCCACACCAGCGACAATGTGCTAGAGGTGAGTGCGTGAGTGCGTCCAGGATATGCCAGCATGAATGATATTTTATGTGAGTCTCTCTCATTTTGTTGGCCAGCTAATTGAGGCCTTTGGCCAGCTGATGTCGCGGGAGGAGATCGAATTTGGCGCCGAGCCGCTGGCCACACTGCACGTGGCCGGCATGATGCTCTATATGCTGCATCACAACGATTTGAGCAGCACCCAGGTGCAGCGCACCTTGTTCCTGCAGCGCTGTTTCGACTACATGGCCTGCACCGAGGAGACGCATGTAGGTGGACCGCGCCGGCGGACGAGCAGTTCAAGCTATATACATACATGAATATCCTTCTCTATGGCAGGTGCATGAGCTGTGCACCCAGATCCTGTCGCTGCTGGATATCAACGACTCGGACATTATGCTCAATATGATTACCTGCTGCCGCAACGCCAGTCCGCTGGGCACCATGGCCCAGATCGTGAGCACCTGCCTCCTCTGGGCAATGCTGGACAAGCTGACCGATCTGGGCTTCGATACATATCGGCTGCGCGCCTATCCCGAACTGATGATGGCCATTGCCATGGTCAATCCGCTGGTCTATTTGCAAAACTATCTGCACTCCCTAAATTTGATTGTGCGCGTGATTGCCGCTCTGCTCGTCGCCGGACCGTATGGCTCCACGGAGAAGCTGCGCAACGAGGTGGGCGTGCCGCAGGATATGCTCGAGTTTCCCAATGCCGATGCTGCCGTGCTCTTTCGCTGGCTCAACACCATTGTGGAGGAGCTGCGCGATGAGCTGCAGCTGCGCGACGGTCATGTCCAGGAGCGCATGATTGTCCTGGAGACATCCTGTGAGCTAATGAAGCTGGTCCATGTGCATCTCGCCGAGTTCTATCAGCGCCTGTATAGCATTGCTGACTTTGAGGATGATGGCTTTGTTTCGGATCATCAGTGCGACAACGATGAGGATTTCGAATGGTTGTTATAATTTTCCACAAAAATTGAGGTTATCTGCACGCCCTTGCAATAAATGAGCATTAATATAATTAATTACCTGTCTGTTGGCAACACCTGGCCACAATTGGCAATATAACACTTGAAAATAATTATTTTGTATTTGATTTTTTATATTATTTCAACTGTACACTTGCGCTCTTTCGGAAAACTTCTTGCATAGTGCTCGAAACGGAAATGTGCCCGAAGAGTTGCCCAATTGTCAAGAATTGCATATTTTACAATACTAGCAAACAAAAAAGTTGTGCATCAAGCAACAAAATTATTGAATAGTTCGATTTATTTATTACGAAAGTTGGCTACAAAAGTGAAAAACAAGCATGCAATTATTTAAGGAACGCAGCAAAATCCATATTTCTTAAAAAAAAATATATTTGCATTAATTTAACTTAATTTACCACAAATAAGGATACATTCGATAATTCTGTTAATGGCAGTTGCCGGAGCTTCTGCTTTTCGCTTCTGCCGTTACTTTCAGTGTTGAGCAACACGCGTTTTACGCTGCGTTTGCAGCTTGAACCGGCGCACATGCGTAACGCCTGCAACAGTTGATGGAACGAAATGGCAAATGGAACGAACACAATTCAAGCAATTTTTATTATTGAAGCTTAAATATTAGGGCTTAACAAAAAACTATTCAAGCAGCGCTTTAAGCATATATCATATATATATATCGATAGGATTGGATAGGAAATGCGTTTGGAATTAATCTCTCGTTGCCCCTGGCAGCTCACTCGTCCAGCACGCTGTCCAGCCACTGCTCCACATCGTTTTTGCTGGCGCTCGGCGTTGCCGGCTGCACCTGCACCGGCGAGGCAATTGGCAGTGTTTGGCCCGTGGCGATGGTGGTCTGCGCCAGCTGCGTATCGGTCAGCGCCAGCAGCTCGTCCAGTTCATCGGGCGCATCTGTGGCAGCGCCCGTTGCCGGCGGCAGTTCCTTTATGGATTTGGCAGAGGGCGCACGTGATTTGTTGGCGCTGGCAATGCCATTGGATTCGCGCAGCACACGCTCCTGGTATATGCGCTCGGCGCGCTCAGCTGCTTCGTTCTGGGCAACGATCTGCTGGCGCGTGAACATGCTGGTCGAGTAGTCCATGCGCTTGTAGAACGGTATCGTTTGCAGGCCACAGTTGAGCAGGCCGAGATTAAGCGTAAAGTAGCTGCTGGCCGCCTTGGTGTGCAGCTGGGTCTGGCCTTCGGCTATGTTATTCCATTCCTTTTCGGCGCCAAAGCTGAAATGACCGCCGCCCATGCTGGGAAACTGGGACATCTGCTTGTAGTCGCCGGCCCGCAGCTGGGCGCGCGCGTTCTCATCAATGGGCGTGCCATCGACCAGCTGCTCCACATCGTCCGTGTCCGTTGGCGGCAGCGTGTCGAGCATATCGCGGTTCTTCTGCGGCGCCAGCGAGCGGGTGCCGCTAGACCAGCCCTTGCGTGCGAAGCGCGGCTCATCGCTGGAATCGGCCACATCCACAATGCTGCGTACCGCCGTCGTTTGTGGCGAGCTGGAGGATGTGTTGCCGCCACGCTGCGGTTGCTGTTGTTGTTGTTGCTGCTGTTGCTTGTGGTAGTATTTATGTTGCTTCATATTCTTGCGATTGCTAAATAAATTAAAATTATTCTTAGCTTTGTCTTAGCAGAGCGACTTGCAGCGCTTGCGGTTACGTATTACTTACTCCTTGGATCGATCGTCCTTGCCGTACATTTTGGCCTACTTGTGGTATGTGTGCGCGTGTGTGTTGGGCAATAAAATAAAAATTCAAAAATCGTTTGTTTACGTTTTCAATTTACTGTTGCCTGTGGCAGCGCGCACAGCTGTGCCCGGGGTTCGCCTGTAAGTGCGAGTGAAACGGCTGCTGCGAACAGCTGTTAGCACTGGCCGTTGTCGGCCAACTATCGATATCGACTGTTAACACACATGTAATCGACGTAAACGAATTGGAATTTTACAGCTGTTATTAAACACAGGCTGAAAATTGGCAAAATAATATTATTTCATTATGCAAACAATAGCTGACTACTATTATACAAATTAAAATAAATCACAACGCACTTTATCGTTAAGCTTCAAAATATCCCACCCAACCCATTTTTAATAAATCAAGCTAATATTTAATTAGGTGTTTCAAGTATGCCGCAAGGAAAATACCAAGCAGTGAATTTGCTTGCGCAAAAATCGATAGTTGGTCGCAAAACAGCGTAATCGATAGAATATTAAACATTTCCATTCACAACGGCAACTATTATTATTTTTTTTTTTCATATTTGATTATTTGAAAGGCGACGTAGCAGTCAGATTGCGTTTGGAGCAGATGTTGCGTTTCGTTCAGAGTTTGCGGCTCAGCAACAGTTTGAAAGCGCCGGAACTGTCAGCGGCTGCCGCTGAGATTTATCGGCAATGTTTCGCTGAGCTGGCTTCCACAGCCGGTCTGCTCGAGCGGCACACGTCCAACGGCGAGCGGTCCGCTTTGCTGCACTGCTTCGATGCACAGCCGAGTAATCAATTGGAGAGCATTGCGCCCAGCGCCGATGATGTCTGGATATTTGGCTACGGCTCGCTGGTTTGGAAGGCGGACTTTCCCTATATCGATCGCCGGCGCGGATTTGTTTGCGGCTATAAGCGTCGCTTTTATCAGCACAGCATCGATCATCGCGGCGTGCCGGAGAAACCAGGACGCGTTGTCACCCTGCTGCCGGGCGACATGGCCGCGGACCGTGTCTATGGTGTCGCATATCGCATAGCGGCCACCCAAAAGTCTCAGGTGCTGGATCATCTGGATTACCGCGAGAAGAACGGCTACGAGCGCTGCAATCTGGAGTTTCATGAGTATCCGGCCGCCACAATGCCCATCGAGGTCATTATGTATGTGGCCACGCAGGCAAACGATTCGTATGCGGGCCACGTTTGGCAGGTGCCATGCATTGCCAAGCAGATCTTTACCTCAGCCGGTCCCAGCGGTCCGAATCGCGAGTATTTATTCAATTTGTCCATAGCCATGCGCGAATTGTTCCCAGATGCCGTCGACGAGCATCTCACCGAGCTTGTCGATTGCGTACAGCGCTATATTGAGAGCGAGGAACCGGTCCTGCTGGAGCGGGCACTGAGCGCCGAGATCGCCAGCATATTAAGCGAATGCTTGGCCAAAGATGCGCCCGTGCCGCTGGAAGAGATTGCTCAGCGCTTGGAGGCGTTGCGTGCACGTTGCCAACAGCCTGGTTGGCGTGAAAGGTTGCTTAACCAGGAATTGCAGGGCCAGAGCTCGTGACCGACCGACTGCAATTCCGTGGGACGAGCTCCTTCTGATTTGCTTCTTATTTCTTCAGTATCAATCCTTTAGTGTACATGATTTGTAAAATATTTAAATATACATATACATAGAAAATGGGGGTACAGATTGTTAATCAAATCTTAACTTCTTAATCGATGGGTAAATGGGAAGTGTATTATAAATTTTGTTTTTTGTTTTTTTTTTTTGATAGCACATTATTTACAACCGTAGTAACATCTTTTATTTATGGCGATATATCGATGGCAGCTTATTCGATAGTTCGTTTCGGCAAATTTGAATTCATAAAAGTATTTCGATAACGCGTTTTTAGATTTGATAATTATATTATTTTTACAAATGATGTAAATGTATGTGCGTATGTCGAAAGTGCGGGAATAATTAATTAGGTATTTTGCATAAACAGCAAAGCAAAATATTTAAATAATATTTATCGTGTTGTTTCCATAGCATTTAAATTGGCGCCAAATTAATGAACGATATCTACAATGAGGTGCACATCGGTAAATAGTTATAGCATCTCGAACCAGTGGCGATATTTATAACAATTATTAAGAATTCATCGTCAAGCTGCGGCACAACATTCTGTAATCTTTGCCAAAAGTGAATTATCGTTTTAAGGCTAATTTGATTGCATATAAAAAAATTCGTAACAAATGTAAGACTCACTGCCTTAAAATAGGCCCAGCCCTGGCTCAAACGGTTATTCTTTACCTACTGTGACTTAAATAAATAGCCACCCTTCTCTTAACGATTAATCGATAGCAAATATCGCATTAAATGTGTAACATATCGGAGTCCACGATATATCAACAATTTCAATAGCAAGTGCCATTTTGGCCTACAGGTAATTAATATTATTTAAGTCTTAGAAAATTTGCATAATTGATACAGTTGTAGGTCAAATTTAGCATAATTTGCTTGCGCCGCTAAGTGTAAGTATTAAGGAATTATTACGCCAAGACGTCGCAAAAAAAAAAAACATAACTTTCTCTGTTACACTGGTGCCGGCTACGTCGAGTTTCGTTTAAATTACATATTGAGAAGCACAGATTAAAGATTTAAGATAGTGAAACCGGGAGCAACAGCCGTGGTTAACACTTTTCTTCTATTTTTTTTTTTTTTGTTTCTTGCTTTTGCTTTAATGACTTCCCTTTGCTTTTGGGCTAATTTGGTGCCGGCTCCCTTGGCCGCAAAACGTCTGACGTGTTCCATTTAATTGTCAAAATGTCGGCTTTAAATGACAACTAAAACGGTATTTGAACTTGAATATTATTTATGATTATTTCAGTTAAGACTAGCCAAAGAATTTCTGTGCTGTTATAAAATCAACAAATACACAACACACAACCGGAAGGGAGGATCATCTGTACGCCTGCGGAGCTGTCTGGTGCGCTGAGGGGCAGTAAAAATGCGGTTAACATTATTCGTTTGCCTCATCATCGGGGCCCTGATCAACTATGCTGCTGGCGTTGATCCAACTAATTTCAAGACCTGCGAGCAGAGCAGCTTCTGCAGGTATGTCACAACAGGCCAACTATTGCCAGCTGACCTTTCATTCACACACACGCACACACATACACACACGCACACAGAGTTGGTCTAATACATGCGCATTTGCTTATTAACCCTATATACTCTTGCGTAGGGTATTTGAATTCTGTCAGGAAATGTGTAACGACAAGAACTAAGTTAAATATGCATTTTTATTCTTTATAGTCTAACTCATATTCATATCTTCTACTCGTTACGTAAAAACAAGGGTATTCTTTTGAGCTTTGTCAGTCTTCAAGCGTTATATTTCTGATCACAATCAACAGACGGCCAATCT